TAAAGTTAGTGTAACGATCTCCATAAAATATGTGTATTTAATTGAAGAAAAACAGGTTTTTTACCCATTTTGTAGTAAATATTAGAGCAGATTTTCAGTTTATGAAACCAGCCAGATCCATGACTCATCAGACTTATGTTCAGTGTTTCGGAAGATGAGCAATGAAAGGATTTGAAGCTAAGGATCAGAGTTCCTATGTTTTCAGTTACTTAGTGGGTAGTGTGTGAACTCAATTCATGGGAAAGTTTCGATTGCTCGGAAACAGGCCAACCAGCTTTTAGTACCGAGGATCAAAAAGAGAACCAGTGAAAACAAGATCCTTTGAGTGCCCATGTTTGAACTGGAGTCTCACAGTTTGCTATGTGTGTGGATGGGGCATGAGCAGTCTGTAACATGCCTGATTTTAATTTAGGTCTATCCAGACTGCTGTTACTCCTCCTGTGACTCCAAGTGGCACAATGAAGAGTAAAGTACTTTCATGCTTAGTTTTGGGCTGTTGGGAAGTAAGGGAGCCTTAACAGCCAGACTCAGTTGCAAAAGGTGAGGAAGCTAAACAACTGGGATTTGAGCCTTATGTGGAAAGAAGTGTGGGTAGGATTTGATGTAGGATGCCCACCTATGAGGGTGAGATAGGAACAGAGAGAAAGAAAACCAGGAGATGGAGAGTAGGGCTATAAGATAGGAATGGAAGCTGAATAGGCTAGGAATACAGGTGAGAAGAAAGACAGATGCCCCAAGTAGAAGGAATGAAAACAGAAATTTGGTCTGGCTCTGGGAACAGAGAGGGAGGAGGGCAGGAACATTAGAGGACATGTTGGGGCTGGAAGTGGGAGGTTTGCAATAGGACAGGTTAGGGAGGAAATGTCTGTAGCATTTGGATTTCTCTGCAAGTTTGGCACTGAACCAAAGCAGAGACATTTATACAAATAGGAAAGTATATTGTAATTACTCTAAATATCTTAGATCTGGAACTGACCCAGCTGTAGAGTCAGGGTGATTTCAAAATTTAGGGGGATTTTTTTCCATTTTTAAACTTGAAAATAATGTTTAAAGTATATATGAAAGAGCTTTAGGTTGATACAATCAAGTTTGCAAAATGAAAAAGGGGTGATGCTTTTTATATTTTTGGTAGAATTTCCTTCAGGAGATGTTATTTTTATTTACTGGTTGGCATTCTTTTCTATTAATAAGCTTCTTGAATGCTTACTTTTACAAATTTATTGTCTTCTAATGTATTTAATTGTCCAGTTATACTATTGAGAACTACTGCTCGGGCTTTGTCAATGGGATAGACAATGGTAAAAAAGAGAGTCTATTTCTGTTGGGTAAAAATGAATTAGGGTTACTATCTTGGTACTTATGGGTTGCTTATAAAAAGCTGAAGATGTTATGTAAATCACACTTTACACACATATGATAAAAGTCTTTGAATAGCAATATTAGATTATGCTATGCTGGATGTGTTTTGTAGTTACTCCATTCAAAAGAACATTTGGCTGCCATTCTTCAATATACAGATTAATAGATGATTTTACCATGAAATCTTTCAGTTTATTCTCACTGTATGCACATTTTGAAAAGTTATTGTATTGTTTCTACCATTTGCAAAAACAGATTGCTCTGATTAATTGAAATAAATCTTAAAACCATCCTTGCAAACCAGAGTTTAAGTCCCTCTCTAAATATTCTCTCTTCTACTTCAGAAATAACCTTTTTGGTAACCGTTGGGCTGCTCTGTTCTAGCAAACTTCAGGTATTACCGACTGGTCATCCTAATGGCACAGAGACATAACGAAATTGAGACCTCATTCCAGATGATTCTTACATGTAGGGTTTTTTCCATTTTTTTTCATTAGCTCAATCTGTAATTTCTTTTTCAGTCAGAACCCTCATTCTTCTGTGAGACAAAAACCTCTACTCTTTCACTATATCAAGCTTGCTAAAATTCCTTGGTGGAGAAAAATCCTGCATACCTGCATTCCACTTTTCTTTTTTTTTTCCCCATAATAGTAGTATTAAAGCGTGGGGTGGTTTTGTTTTCTTTTGTTTTCCCTTAGAGACCATCTAGGCAGATTAAGGAATGTATTTTGACGTTGTGTTACGTGCACACACATTTGTGCTGGAATAGTAGCCAAGAAACCAGAGATGCTATCTGGCCAAGTAAAAGCAAATATGACACAGAAAATATGAATGGTGCTACATTGGCGGAGTTACTAGTGAGCTCAAGAGTGTACTTAAGTCAAAAGAAAACTGACCCTTCGTAATGTTACCCGTACAAAGCAGATCATGCCCATGTAAGCTACTTCAAATTTCCAAAATAAAGCACACAAAGTTTTCCTGAAGTTACTGTTTGTGATTGGAATGATAAGCTCACTCTGGAAACACCCAAAGGATTGAGTAGACTTACAAAATCATCAGAGAACTATGGACTCTTCCAGAAAGTACAGAAAATAGGTCCAGAGAAGCATGCTTGGCCTATGCTTATGCATGTGTCCAGTATGTAAGTTCTGTACAGAACAGACAATTGAACCTCAGGCTAATTTAAGGTCTGTAGCTGTGTACAGGAAGACATTGCTGTTTATTTTGTGTAAAGGCAGAAGATATGAATATGTTGTTGACAGTCAATAAATATGACTTTTAGAAAAATTTTGTTTGTGTGTGGCACTGCACATCAGTTGGCTAGATGACATGTATCTTTGTGAGGACTTACTCATTTTGGAACAGAACAGTCTTCCCAGGATTGTAAACAATGTGCACAGCAGAACAGATTTAGTGTCATGTCTGCAGCCAATCATGTACAGAGTGTGGAGAATGTGAGAGTGCTGAAACTATTTTTGTGTGGTAAAATGAAAATAAGAACATACAGTCAGGGAGCAGTGATGAAATACTTTAAGTATCATCACTTGAAAAGCATCCTTAAGCAAAATTGACAGCAGTAGTCAATAACCAGATAGATAATTGCCATTTAGCAGTTTGAGTGCAGTAACTGTTTGAAAACAAACATTGGAGATTAAAACTGTTGTAAAAAAAGCAACCTTTTCCTGAGCTCAGTAGGCAGAATTTACAATGTCTGCTCACGCAGCCTGCGTGGGAACGATCTCATTCATGCATTGGACTGTTTACTCATACACGGATGTCTACAGAGTGAGTATAAAGGGCATCATAATGACACCTGTTTGTTCCGTTCCAGTTAATTCCAGTGAAAATTGCTTCCTCTTTGTGCCTTAGAAACATTCCTACATCTGAAATCCTCAGGGAAAATATTTGAAGTAATCCCTTTGCTTTTGTTAAACACTCTCAATGCCACCTAAAGATCAGGTGCTAAATAGGATGGAATTGTGGTTGTTGCAACTGCTGTTTGACAAATGACAGCTAACATAACAGCCATGCTTGGTTAGAGTAAAGGTTTATCTGCAATTCTAACAATCTGTCGTTAAGTGGTTTCTGTGTGAGAAGTACCACCTTGCATTTAATAGTTGTCAAAGGATTTCACTGCTGCGAGTTTGTTAAGTATCCTCCTGAGTAAGTGTTAATTTTTAGCAGCCACAGCATCTTACAGTAAGAAATTTCACAGCTTTCATATTTGGAGAATGACTTCTATTTGTTTTCATTCTGCATCTGCTAGCTTTATTAGATGCCTTCTCATTCATCTACTGGAAAATAAAGTTCATTCCTATTCTTATTTTTCATGCCCCTCAGGATGATGTTGCAGGCTTCTCTTCTTCCTTTTCCTTATGCCATCTCTTCCAAGCTGTAGAGCCCCAGCTTGCTTAAGTAATTTCATCTACACAGTGCAACTGCATAAGTGCGTGCTGTTGCTGGTTGTCAAAGGTAATCTTTGTTACCCTTCTCTGATACTTTACCAGTTCTATTAAATTCCTTGTGAGATGAGCTACTAGAATGGTCATCAGCATTCAGTGTGCAGGCAATAGCATGGAACTGTGATGTGGTGATTTCTGTATTTTTTTCTATTGCTTTCACATTAATTCCCAAAATGTTGGGTTTGACCGTTATTTAAAACTGAGTCAAACGTTTTCAGGGGTTTATCTAGCATAACCCCAGGATCTTACTTTTGAATGAAAACAGTCAGCTAGGAGTTCATCCTTGTACGCGTGTGGTTAGGATCATTTTTACAACCTATGATTTACTTTGCGTATATCTCCTTTGAATTATTTAATGCTAAGATTCATAAGGTTTTCTACTTTTCTTCACATCACCCTCATTTTCTACTGTCCAGTAATTTAGTATTCTATCAAAAAAACTTTTTTACCACTCGTCTTTGAGGTTGCCTGTTAACTGTAATGAGTAGAATGAATGAAGTCCACTTCTAAGTGGATTATTATTTCTGTCATCTATAATTACCTGATAGTGATATACCTGAAAATATACATAATCTCTGCTTTTTGAGAAGGACCTGTGGTTCTGTGGAAATTAGTACACCAATGAGGTCTGACGTTTCTTCATATCTTTGGGTATTGGAAAAGGCAGTTTAGCTGTTATCTGTGATATCCCAAAGGGATATCCCAAGGGATGTACCATAGATAGCGCTGGTGCCTGATATCACTTCTCCCTATCACGTGTAACACATGATGGTGAAGACAGAACACAGCATCTCCTTTGTATCTCTCCTGTGAAAAGACTTCATGTGCATACATTTATGCACCAAGAAAGAAACTCACATTGATCTAATATTTTTCAAAAATAAGGTATAGTGTCAGGTCATTGCCATTTCATTGTGCATTAACCACATATTCAGAAAAGTCATGGACTGAATTTTCCACATAGTGTGTTTTGTTGGTATAATAGTATGATTTTTCCTAATGATGTTTCAAATACAGGTTACAATAGTTACATAGATAAGCATAATAACACCTATTAAAGTCTTAGAAATACTGTTTTAACTTCTGAAATTTATATGTGTAATGAGTAGAACTAGCATGTATTCTAAGCTTGGCTTTTTGAATCATCAAAACTTTTTTTTTTTATTTTTTTTATTTTAGATATAGACAAATGCAGCTTGGCACAGAAAGCAAAGTAGCTGAACTTCTTCACCAAAGTAAGTTAAAGTCCTTTGAAACTGAACATGTACAACTCATGCAACAAGAAACAGCTAAGAATCTTTCACAGTGCCAAATGGAATGTGAGAAATATCAGAGAAAGCTGGAGGTATGTTGTATAAAGAGACACTTTAAGGGTCATTACATAGTTGTTTTCAATTAGAATGTAAAATAGAAAAGCTTGTGGAAAAAGTGGCAAAGAACATACATGGCTGAATTAGTATCTCCACCAAATTCTGCTGAAGCAGAATCTAATAATGAAGCTTAATAATTTTGACCATTTCAATGGAAAACAAGACTTAGGGGAGAGGAAGGCGGCAAAACAATTTTTTATGGAGAGATGTTGAAGACAGTACCTCATTCACATGAGATACATGTATGCTTGTATCACAAAGCTGCTTATGTCAGTCTTTGTGATTATTGTAGGAAAAGAATACAGTTATTCCAGAACTGTCATGGTGAATTCAGTATCATTACTAACAGCTAGAATTTGCAATAGCATTCTCTTCTGGGTTTAACTTCTCTCCTTCATTTTTGACTCTTCTACCTTCCCCTTCCCAAACAGCACAGGAAGGGCTGCTGCCACTCCTTCCTCCTCACACTTGTATCCTGCTCCAGTGTGAATCCTCGGAGGGCTTCAGCTTCCTTCAGGAGAAAATCTGCTCCTACTTGGGCTCTCCACAGGTTGCAATTCCTCCAGGGCAGGTCCCCCTGCTCCAGCATGGGGTCCTCCATGGCCTGTAGAGTTGAATGACTTGGACCCTTCTATCCCTATAAGCTTAGAATTTATTGTCTTCCAAACATGTACTTTTAAGAATGTATCATATCCTATGCACCTATTTTAGTATTGGAAAGGTGTCCAGTATTTTGCAGAGCAAACTTACTTTAAAAACAAATACTTCACCTGTGCAAAGTTAGTCCCCAGATCATATCACTGAGTCCAATTTATGAGACTTAAATGAGATTGGCAGTATGCATGTCTAAAACAAATGTCAGGGTACAAACTGGACGGGACAGAATAAAAACCTTTTTTTCGAAGTGCCAGCTATGGCAGTCTTCATGTTTTGTGGAAGGATGCTGTTCTTCTGGTCCCTGCATTTCTAGTGCTGAACCTGCCTAGGGTGTATATGAAAAGGAACTAAAGTGAAAACAGAGAATTTTAGATAAAATATAATTTCATATTTTGTCTGTATTGGGACATTCAGATCCTGGCTGATGAGCTTAGTTGTGATGCGCACTGGGAGTGCCAGTTTTGCTAGACTTTAAGGTTGCTAAACAAATTTTTAATTGCACAGATATGTCTAAACTGTGATGAGATAGTTAAATCTGAGTTGTATGCCTGTTTTCTTTGTGGATATTTATTTGATCTTGTAACATCTTGAATATTTGGCATTCGATCCTGGGACGCATCAAAAGAAGTGTGACCAGCAGGTTGAAGGAGGTGATCCTGCCCCTCTACTCTGCTCTCGTGAGTCCTCACTTGGAGTATTGTGTCCAGTTCTGGTGTCCTCAACAGAAAAAGGACATGGAGCTGTTGGAGCAAGTCCAGAGGAGGGCCATGAGGATGATAAGAGGACTGGAGCAGCTCCCGTATGAAGACAGGCTGAGAAAGTTGGGGCTGCTCAGCCTGGAGAAGAGAAGGCTGCGTGGAGACCTCATAGCAGCCTTCCAGTATCTAAAGGGGGCCTATAAGGATGCTGGGGAGGGACTCTTTGTTAGGGACTGTAGTGGTAGGACAAGGGGTAATGGCTTCAGACTTAAACAGGGGAAGTTCAGGGTAGATATAAGGAAGAAGTTCTTTACTGTGAGGGTGGTGAGGCACTGGAATGGGTTGCCCAAGGAAGTTGTGAATGCTCCATTCCTGGCAGTGTTCAAGGCCAGGTTGGACAGAGCCTTGGGCGGCATGATTTAGTGCGAGGTGTCCCTGCTCATGGCAGGGGGGTTGGAACTAGATGATCTTAAGGTCCTTTCCAACCCAAACCATTCTGTGATTCTACTAACACTTCTGGCACTTCTTTTCTCTAAAGAGATGCTTTGAAACCAGTGCTTCTTCATTAAGAAATGTTCTTGCAGAATTTAAGTATTTGATGTCTGAAGCTTTTACTTTTGCTCCTTTTGACTGAACTCTTAATTTTTAAATTTCCTTTCTTATATATAGTATCAGTGTACTAAGAAGAATTTTCTTACTCTTACAGGATATTGATCTTAATATTGTAGTTACTAGTATCTTGTGGCTCAGTCACAGTGGCTTTGTGAAGCAAGCCTTGGTTTTATTTCAATTTCAGCATAGTTTCTCTTCTTATGCGTGGTAAAACTAGGAAACAGATAATTTATATGTGGCCAAATTTTAACCTATACATTTATTCTTCTGTGACACTACACTAATCTTTTTATATTCGCGTGGTTTGATTCTCTAAGCGTTGTGCATTCTTTGGTGTTTTTGACAGAGAATCTGGTATTACTGCTGCATACACTATGCATATATTTCTGTATCTCAAGATCTATATTCAGCTGCCGTCTTGAATGTTAGGGATTTATATTTGGGAAGTTAGTATTAAACCTGGCTACAGTACTACTTGGTTATTACTTTACCTGTTATGGTGGGAATTTTTCTGCAAAGTGTATAGATTACTTACTTACCAAGAATTTTCTTATTCCAGTTGGTTTTCTAATATTTTTGTTGTCAATGCTCTTTTCTATTTTCAAGCACTATATCAAGCTTTAGTTCTTATAAAGACCTTCATAATTTCTATTTCTGAATGTGTGCTTTTTTTGTTTAAGCTTAGTGGATTACTATTTACATTAGTCCTGAATCTAAATAGCATTAGTCCTAAATCTTAATAGCAATAAAACATATTACCTTTCAGTAATAAGTAATATTATTGAATTATAAGAAAATAAAGAATTATAAATAATAAGAATCTTAAATACCAATTTTTGATATTCATGTATTTACCATTCTGTAAAGGACTCTTCTGTTTTTAAATAGATAACCAATATGTGAATCTAGTTAAAGCAACAAGAATAAATGCATTTACACTGTTTGACGGCTGTTACAGTGCTTTTCCTAATTCTCCTTAAAATTCTTTTAGCTTCTTTAAGAGAGAGATTATTAGAATTACTAAGGCCTTAGGAGATAGGCATAAGTGTTATGACCTGAGAGTGTATTCAGTGCAAGATAATATAGTTTAAAAAATAACTGTTTTTTAAAGTACTTAAATCTTTCTTGTGCAAAAGTTTCATCAAATATTTATCATTGTACTGCTAAGCATTTTACATGTATTATATTTTGCTTCTTTCATAAATAGCTGTAATACTGACTCCCTGACTTCTCCATTGTTCATTCTCACAGGTGCTTACTAAAGAATTTTATAGTCTTCAGTCTTCTAGTGAAACACGCATTACTGAGCTTCAGACACAGAATTCTGAGTTTCAAGCAAGGCTCGATACTTACGAAAAACTTGAAAAGGAGCTTGATGAGATAATATTGCAGGCAGCAGAAAGTAAGTTCTGTCACAAATGAAGTCATATCTGTAGGTGTTTCTGGCATTATGACAAGTTGTCTTACTTCTCATGGCATTTGGAAAGTATTACAGTGCTTATCATTCTCCCTCTTTATGCCTGAAAATTAAGATGCAGTGACTATTTTGATGGAAAATGTTAATGATGGTTTTTTTAAACGGATTTGTAAATATGTATTAAATAGACCTGAATGAAGAAATATAGATACTAAAAATCATCCTAGTCTTTCTTTTTTCCTCATTTTTCATTTTCTTATTCAAATAATCCATTATAATTAGGTATGGTTTTTAGGATTCCCCTATTATTTAAGTATATTTTAAATATCAGAAAACCCTCTTTGTTGACAGAGAATTACAGGCTTCATAATACAGTGCAGTGATTAATATGAATTTTTGAATGAATTGGGGAGAAAAAAAAGCTCTTATTTGAGTTGAATTAATAATAGTTAGACATTGAGTTGTTGCTTGTGTCAGGTGGATTAAACTGTGAATTAAGTTCAGGCCTGATAACTCTTGAAAATTTTTTTCTCTGGTTGGAAGAATTTCTGTGAAATCTCTATTCATTTGATTCTCAGCCTAAATAAATCCACAAAGCAAGTAACTTCTGATTTGAAACTAAGACTCTAATTTTGAAGTCTTTTAACCTGTGTGTAAACAGGGTATGACATTTTAAGATTTCAAACTAATTCATTTATCTTCTTGTCCCTTTATGTTTCTTTGCTGCTCAAAAAAAAACCAAAAACAAAAACAAAACCCAATTTATAAATAATGTTTTCCAGGTAGAAGATAATTGCATAAGCTCTGTATATAAAGAGTAGTGTAGAGGAAAGTATGTATTACTGGGATGCAGTGATATCTGGGTATCATTAGTAATTAGACTGCACGTACTTTATTAATTTTGTACACTGCAGCTTGTACTTGTTAGAATAGCATGACTACCCAAAGGTTTCAGTCTGACCGTAATCATGTTTGCTATATGCATGCTTATGTTCTAGTTGGTAACATGTTCTTTGAAGTGTTTATATATAAACTTGCCTAAAGAGTATTTATGTATTCATACAGAATTTTTGGACCTCACATTCATTTTTTCCAAGGAGGAGGTAGAGTTCAGAATGCAGAATTTTTATTTATACTGATTTATGTTTTCTTGTATATTGCAGGATGTCAGTAAAGTTTTTTACAGAACTAAATTGGTCTTAATTTCTCCCTAAGTATGTATTTTAATTACAATTTATATTCTATACTACAGAATATGACTTAAATTAAAGTTTCCAAATGTACTGTTCTGTTTAAATATGACCTTATTTTCTGATTTTGTTGGTGTGAAAAGGGAGTTGAACTATATAATATTATTTTTTTCTGCTAAGTGTAAAAAAATTGTTGTTAATAAGTGTCCCCTACCTTGTAAAATACGTATTTTAGACCACCAAGTCAGGCGAAGAGCCTGGGTAGACATAAGAGAAGCGCATGCTGCTGCAGAACATTACTTTGGCTTGCTATCTTCAACATTCCCAAATTTCTTTGTGTTTGTCTTCATTATTTGACATGTACATGGACACTACTGACAGATATGAATTTATAGGGCAGATCTCACTGACATTTTTGAGGCACACAACACTGAATTCATAACCAAAAAGAAGAATTATGACAAAGGCAAGTTAACTTATTTTTTTGTGTTTTTTTCTGAACTAGAGGTGTTTAAGGCACTGGAGAATTTCCCATTATAACTAAGCCTTGAAAATCTGAAGTTCTGGTGCCTTTGTACTGCCACATCAGTAAACTTTTTTCTGTCCTATTTACCGGAATTGGTTTTTGTGCAACTAGAGATGTGACTTACTACAAGTGCTCTACTAGAGGCTTTTTTCTTTCTAAATGTTTTTTTTTAAGAATCCTTGTTTAAAATAGCATTAAGAGAGAATTAGACAGATGAGGAAGCTATAGTGTTGTGCAGGTTGTCCAGAGAAGGGATTTCTGATTTTGAGGCACTTGAGCTTTAGGGAAGTTGAGTCAGATAGGACTATGCCATCAGTTTCTAAATTTGTTTCTCCTGTTACTAACTACTCGATTCATCAAAGCTGTTTTGTGGTGCCTGGGCTGGTGCTCTCGTGTGCTCCCTCCCTCCCTCACGTACACCCGTGCTGCTGCCCCCTTCTTATTCCCCTTTTCCCCTCCTCTCTGTCCCCCTCACTGTGCCCCTGCCTACCTCACATACACACTTCATTTTTTCTTTTATTTTTCCTCTTGCTCACTTTATCTTACAGGAGAGAGGAAACCTGAATTACACGAGCTGAAATACTGAAATCTGTACATGTTTGAATCTTGCTGCTACTGGGATTTCTTTTCAAAGCAGTCCCAATGTGGTTTAAATCCTTAGAAATATGTTTTCAATAATCAGTCATCTATGGAGGGAGAGATTATTTTGAATGTTTTTACTTTGCATAAACATAAGATTCTTATTGCCTTTCTCTGAAGATAGATATGGCATTTGTTTACTTCAGGTTATCAGAAATTTCTGATCACTGCAGTATTTCATATATTATAGTGAGCAGCCTCACTGTGACATCAGCTCCCTCAGCAACCTCCGATGTGGATGTGTCCCTTCTGGTCCCATGGACTTGTTTACAGCCAGTTGGCTTAAGCACTCCCTAATTTTATCTTCCTCTACTTCCGCATACATGCACAGAGAATGGATTCTTTAGGAGAAAAAGTCCAAAGCAACCTAACCCTGTACTGCTGAATGAAACCTATACTATTAGTATGTGTTTTGTGACTATACCAATAGAATGAATATTCAAGGACACTGAACTCTTGTTTTTTACTTTCATATTGAGTCATATTAATCAGAAAAAAAAAAAGTGAAAAGCCTGCCACTCTTATAAGAAACTAATGTATGGCACTATATTGATGCTAACTGTGAACGAAATTATTCCACTCAAGTCCAGGTTACACCAACTGAAAATCTAGCTTCTAGAAAAATGTTTGTCTGTGTATATAATTATAAACAGAATTGCTTATAAGTTTTTAAGTTATTGCACTGTAATTATGTTTTTCAATAGTACCTTTCTGCAATTTTTTTTACAGTGGAAGGTGAAGTTGAAGCTGAAAGAGTTCTTTTCTCATATGGGTATGGTGCTAATGTTCCTACAACAGCCAAAAGACGACTAAAGCAAAGGTATAAAGTGCCTCCTGAGTTTACTTGTTCAAGATAAAGTAAATGAAAATAGATGCATTATGTTTTGTCTTAGAATCCAGCCAGTTTAATAAACGTGAAGAGTTTTTTTAATGACTTAAGTTTACAAGAATAGAATGAAGACTATGACCTGATAATGTGGCATATGCATATAAATGAGCATATACATATTTTCTAGGTCATTTAAAAATTTTTTCCGTTGCCTTTCAGAAAGATGAATTCTAATTGTATAAAAATAAACAGCTGTGAAAACAGACTAGTTACATTGTTTACATTTATATAATAATATGTCAAATAAGTTTTTAATATCCTAAAAATAATTTTATGTAATTGTAACAAAAAGCACATCTGTCAGGAAACTAGGAAGGCCAAGATTTCAGAGCATCAGTATTTCATCTTTACAAATACAGGATCTGATTCCGATTATATTTATTCAGTTTACCTACATCGTTTGATAAATAGATGAAAATGATGTGTAGGCTGAGTAACATACCTCTTGATTGTAGTAATTTTTAAATAACAAATTGATTTTATGCATTGTCTTTAAGAAATAATAGTGACATTTGAATGGCTCACTGTGAACACTGGGAATGTGGATTTATGTATAGTATTTTTAAACTGTGACCACAACAAAACTTTTGTTGTTGTTAAACGTATGTGTAGATACTACAAAAATAAAACATAACCTAGGATGCAGGAAAGTCAACTGCATAATTTGTGGTAGTGGTAGGCTTTGGCCACTCTGTCTTCTAGCAAAATGAGAAACTCCACCATCATTGGCAGACACACAAAGAAGAGTATAAAGACAGGGTGAACATGTACCATAGCTTCACAGTGCACATCTCTAGCGTTCGGGAGCTGGAAGTGCAGTTCTTGTCATGTGTAGCTATTTTTTACAACAAGTATTAGTTTGTTTAGTTGGTTTTGTCCTCTTAACCCCCACCTTCTCCATGACAAAGAAGGTTTAACATGAAAAGAAGGCTCCAGAGAGACCTTGTAGCAGCCTTCCAGTACCCAAAGGGGGCTTACGGGATTGCTGGAGAAGGACTTTTTATAAGAGCAAGTAGTGATAAGGCAAGGGGGGATGGTTTTAAACTGTGAGAGAGTAGATTTAGATTGGATATTGGGAAGAAGTTCTTTACTGTGAGGGTGATGAGGCACTGGAATGGGTTGCCCAAAGAAGTGGTAAATGCTCCACCCCTGGCAGTGTTCAGGGCCAGGTTGGATGGGGCTTTGAGCAACGTGGTCTAGTAGAAGGTGTCCCTGCCCATGGCAGGGGGGTTGGAATCCAGTGATCTTTAAGGTAGAATCATAGAATAGTTAGGGTTGGAAAGGACCTTAAGATCATCTAGTTCCAACTCCCCTGCCATGAGCAGGGACACCACAGACTAAACTGTCGCCCAAGGCTCTGTCCAGCCTCGCCTTGAGCACTGCCAGGGTTGGAGCCTTCACAACTTCCTTGTTGTGCATTCACAACTATTCCAGTGCCTCACCAGCCTCACAGCAAAG